TAGGGTCTCAGCTATGGGCAAATAATGAAGCTGTTGTGGTTCCTTTATGAAGACAATGTCGAGGCACAATGCCCAAGTTCACAAATGGCAGAGTACTCAGTTGCCGTTAAAGTTTGAATTGGGATGACAGCCAGGACAGGCAATCCCATCAAAAATTTTCACTCCACTTGTATTATGGTAAGATCATCAACAGATCCTGTGTTTGAGTGGGAAATGCCATGCGTGCAGCTAGCCAGTTACCTGGAAGGGGGGCTCAGTGATGTGGACAATGCTCCTGTACCTGCACGATAAACAAAAACAACCGATAAAGAAGAAGAAAAAGTAGATTACAATGAAAAACAGTCTTATTTGTTTCTCTTCTTCACCATTGCTATTTAATGTCAGTCGAATGTCAAGGGTTTCAGGAGATATCTATAACAATATCTTTTAATATTACTGCAGTTTTTTTTTTTTCATTTTGTCCATTTGCTTTTGGTTTCTGTTTTTTTCTTTCTTTAAAGCCTCTCCTTAGCTGCTATGTAAATAGTATTTGCTTACTGAATGATTCTCCAGACCTATTTCATTGCATTCCTTCTAGTCATTGGAATTCTATTTTCAGAGGAACGTTCTTCACATAAAATGCCATATAACTCTCTATGACCAATAATGTTTCTGGATTTCTTCTTCTTCTTCTTCTTCTTCTTCTTCATGACCACATTCATAGCAACATCACCTTAGATCAATACATACCTTAGTATATACATTAATATATGTAATGATACACACAGCTGTCAATATAGTGAGGAATACGATTGTCATAGCACTGCTGCCTTCTCTGTATCACAATCCACACAGCTACTTTTATGGAGATTTTTCAAAGATAAAGTCTGTCACCCAATATCCTGAGCAGTGTCCAATTAAATGGAGAAATTACAGTTACTATAAATCAGGGCAGTAAAAGAAGGAAGCTATAGTAGTGTTCTACAGGGAATAGTTCTTTGGGTTGGCATCAACAAATAATTTTCTTTCTTCCAAGGTTGCTTTGTGCTAGGAAATGAAATATTGGACATTTTCTCCCCCTCCTACCCAAGCATCTTTGTATATGAATCTTATGCCAGCAACAAGAATATTTATATTGAACAGCATTTTTTAAAACTTTTTTTTCAATCATATTGAGTCAATAATATGAATTCTATCATTTTTAATTTTCAATTCCATTTTGGAAAAAATATCATTATTGCTGCATTTATAAATCTCCATATTGGATATTTTCAATCTTGAAAACATCCTTCTACTTTTTTTATATGCTGTGTCCCTTTAGAACATAGCTGATCATGGCCTTCCACATCTTCCTGTCTCTTGTTGCTCTTAATAAGTGTTGTTTTATTGTTATCTCTCCCAAACCCTGTTCTGCCATCCATTTGCTCAAGCTCATTAAGTATGCTATACACTGTTTCCTCTGTCCCTCTTTTCCTCAATCTGTCTCATGTGTATCAGGTTTTCCAAGCCTTCTTTTCTCAATATGTGCATCTCTTCCTGATATTAAGTATTAATTTCCTTTTTATTTTCATTTTCTCTACAATGTTGTCATTGCTCATATGTTTGGCCCATGGTATCCTCAGCATCTTTTTGTAGAACCACATTTCTGTTGCTCCAAGTCACTTTCTCATCTTTGAGGAGATTGTCCAGCAATTGCTGCCATACATAAAAGTCTCTTAATATTCTATTTAGCTTTTGGAATGCATCTTTGGTCATCCCAATGCTTCTTCTGATCTTGGTGTTGCTTTTTCCATCCCCTGTCATAACACTCCCAAGATATTTAAATTTCTATTCCTGCTTCATTTTAGTAACCTGAACCTGTGATTTGCATTCCTTTTGCTGATAACCATGTATTCCGTCTTCTTGTAGTTTGTACTTACTGTACATTTCCATGTATAAGACAACCTTTAAATCCCAAAAATCACCCTTAAAAATTGGGTTTTGTCTTATATCACAATTCTAAAAAAGAAACCTTAAATTCTGAGTGATGTTTGTTGGTAGGCTAACCTTGGCCTCAGTGCAATAACCAATAATCGACATGAAAAGATTCACATTATCAAATAGACTGATAATAAAAGTAATAAAACCATTTCTATCTTATATATAACTGACATAAGTTCATAATAAATTGCCTATTTGAAGAATAATTCCATATCAATGAAATCAACTTGTATCCATGGAAGCTCAACTGAGAAAATGTAAACAAGTTATGATTGCATTCACAGCAATATAGAATGTACTATTATCATACATTATTGTATTGTTATTAGCTGTATTTTGTGATCGTCTATGAATTATAAGTAAAAGGCTATTAGTACACCAGGCTGTTTGCAACTGTTTTGGTATAGAATAATAATAATAATAATCATAATAATAATTTGTAAGAGATCAGGTGATGAAATATAAACAAAACAATATTTTTCCCTTTTGAGGGATATGTGTAGCAAAAACATGATATAGAATCAGTTTTGTTATTTTGTTCATTTTGAATATCTATGGATGCAGTAGAAACATTTCCAATAACCTCATCTTCATATAATCAATAAGCAGTCATCTTGTACTTCAAGTATATGATAAATTCATGAAAATTTGCTATATTTTCTTACTTTGTCTTATTTAAAGGTCACCTTATACATAGAAATATACAGTAGTCCTTTCTTCTTTTTTTCCTTTGCTACCTTCTGTATGAGCTTTTGCAGTTTCCTTTTCATTAGTGTAGTACTATTGGTTATTCAGTGACTAGTTTATGTATTTCTATTGAATTAATGGAAAATAAAGCAATAGGTTACTATGAAACATTAGTATAAACTTCTTTTTTTTTCAACAGAATAATTTTACATCACTAGAAATAATCTGTTTAAAGATTTGAGGCTTGCATTAATTCAATGTAGACAAAATTAGACAATTTCTTGTTAACAAGATGGAAGTTTGATTCAACCTGTACCACTCCAGTAAGTACCTGACTCCTCATGCTATCCTCTGCGTTGTAGGTAATTCCAATTCACTTTCCTAAAAAGAAACATCTCTAGGGGACGCTCCTTAGGCCTATAAATAGGAAATGCTATTGTCACTCATTCTCTTTCCTCTTTTACAATTCTTATGATGCAGTTGTATGTACAAAAAAATGCCCCCCATGGGGCACATTAATTTTCAATGTCTTATATATCTCTCGTGAATTTGTTCTTTTTCACACATGCATCTATCATGTAGGCCTACAGAAACTTCACACACATTCGCTAATTTAAACGCTTTATGAAACTTTAAATGTATTCCTTATTTATTGTTATTGTAATACTTCTGTTAATACATGCATCATCGTTTGTTTTATATTGTTGTGTGTTACTCATTTAATACTTGGACTCACATTTGCAATAATTGTTACAGGAAAAATAATTATGTTTTCTACATAAGCACAACAAACATTCTTGTAACAACATTTACAAGAGCCAGATCAAGCTGAAAATGAAGTACTGTTGCCATATTTGATTGGGAGCTCTCTTTTCAGTCTTGATAGACTTCAAAAGCATCTTCAAGTCCTTGTTAGAGAAGAATAATTTACCACTCTCCAACCTCTCTCTCACAGGCAGGATGTGACGAGCCTCTTACTGCTCTATCACTAATTCCATGGAAAGTGCTCAGGTGAACTACATTCCTTGGTTTTGCCATGTCTAATCTTCATGGCTAGGACCCACCAAACCACTTACATTTTAGCAAATCACCCACTTTTCTTTCATATCCCATCAGTGAGAAGTATGTTCCAGTCAGACAGCTTTTTCCTGTAAACCATTGCCCTGTGGAACACACTTCCAAGAGGATGTTTTCCTGATCACTACAATCTTAACCTGTTCAAGTCTTATGTTAACCAAAGTTATTTTCCCCTCTTATCTGTATAAACTGCCCCTTAATATAACCCTCTACCTAACTTAAGAGAGGGAGAGAGAGAGATCAATACGAACCTCCTAATAGAATACCATACCTAAAGAAACTAAAAGGAGACAACCAAAACAAATAAAGGGAAAATAATTCACTTCTTGTTTTGACTATAGCTCTGCTCAAATATATCAGTAACAATAATTGTATTTAAAGTTTCTGGATGGTACTTTTTTTCCTTTGTCGACACAGCAATAATTTCTGGCTTTATACTAACTAATTTGCAGTATCCCCTTATAATAGTATCTTTTATTTTGTAGAATTGTACTACTAATTGATTTAAATGTTCCAATATGTGAAAGTATGAATTCTAAAATATTTTATCGATTAAGTCAAATACAGACAGTGAAAAAGATGTTATACTGCTTCCATTATTTAGATCAATATATATTCTTTCAGCTGGAAAAGCTTTCAAAAACAAATGATACACTAGGTAAGATTTATTAAATAGATACATTTAAACTTTAATTCAATTGAATTTAACATAGGAGATAAGGGAATTGACATGGAATAGACTGTGGTAGTGGTAGTTTTGCCCAGGACTGAAAATTGCAACAAAACCTAAGAAAACAAGTCATGTTCTTAAATAGCCTCTCATCAGGTCTAGACTTTCATATGGATGCCATGCATAGCACCAAATATCTAAACTGTAAGCTGTATACAAGTGTTTCAATGATGAAAAATGGCTTTCAGAAAATGAAGTTTGTAGGTCTTAATAAGGACCATCCTTTTTGAAGATCATGGATTGGCACTACAGAATCATAAAGAACAAAGACAACATAACAGAAATTACATCACTTGAGAACTTTCAAAGACAATAACTAAAATGGATAGCACATAAAAGTCAGCAAGAAAATAATGACATAATCTAGAAGTCCACACTACTTCAAACAAAAGGGTAGGAAGGAAGCTCATGTCAATACTGAAAAGAGTGATAACAGTTACTTGACTTGAGAAAGCTATTTTCATGAAAAATTGTTTTAAGAAAGACTTTTATAAATTTCAGCCAAAAGAAACACTGGCTTTTTGGTCAATGAATGGTGAATGCTTCC